GGCTCAAAATAGCATCAGTATTTAGTGCTTGTACTATCAACTTATGATAGCGGCTGAATTACTTTATGAACCTTATCTGAAGGTACCGTAATTAACACTGATAATTTCCACACATTAGCAAGTGTTCTGGGCATAGTCCAGATAATTATAGGCTTGACATCACACTTTTATTAACACAGCTTCTACTATAGTTTGTCCAAATTGATCAGCATATACAACTAACAATGAGATTCAGTCTGAAAGAGTGGAGGAATTTGAAGTTAAGGTTGTATTTAGCAGTTAATACTTACACTATTTGGCACTGTGTTCCAGATTCCAAGAAATCTAAAGTTTAGGAAACCCATTTATTTAGAATAGCTAGCAATAATACTACACAATGTTCTGCCCTTAGGAGGAAGAAAATGGAACCTGGTTTTGATGTAAAATACTGAGGTCATAAAACCTATTTTTATCAGAATTAGCACTATTACATTTCCATAAGTCCTTAGAATTTTAACAGAAATTTAAGACTATTATGTGTTAAAAACCAATTAGGATCTTTTCAGAAGAGACAATAAAATTTGTTTCTAAATACAGTTTTTATGTTCCCTTAAAGAATGTACCTGAACTTCCGGACACTACAGAGCATTCTAGGACTGATCTGTCCCGTGATTTAGCAGCACTGCATGAAATTTGTGTGGCCCATTCAGATGAACTGCGAACGCTCAGTAATGAGCGTGGTGCACAGCAGGTAGGTTTTTGCCAGCCTTTGTTAACAATGATGATTCATTAGTATTTAAGCATAACGTAAGCATAAAACTCAGGTACTAAATAGCTGAATTATGATCAACATTTTTATCAATTATTTTACAGTTTTTAAGAATCTGAACCATAATCCAATATGGTTCTGATCTCAGCAGATAGGAATAACAGGCTGAGACTAAGATTATGTAATTTTGATACTACAAAATGGAATCTGTGTTAACTCTACTGAAAACGGTATTCATACATTTCCTTGGCATGTATGGAAAATGGCAAGTGAACTAATAAGTCCGTAGTGATGTGGCTTTTTCTCTCACACGTACAGACTGTTAAACAATTGAGAATCATTCAGGACATTTGGTAAAAATAGTTCAAGCTCCAGATCCAGAAACTCTAGACTGTGACCTTGGAACTTGCTGTTTTGAATAAGCTGTTCTTATCACTGGCCACCCATATAGAAGTGATTAAATGAGTATCCTTCAATCTGAGATTCTAAAATCAAGTTGGATAATAGTCTAGTTCATTACGGTTCTAATCACTTTAGAAACTTAGAGTGTATACCATGGGCCTGCTTATGTGCATATGGCATGTATAATTAACGTTATCTTATTTGCCTTAAAATTGGGAGGATTTGACCCAGTTGAGACTTTTAAAGGTAAAGGTTGTATTCTTGCTACACTGGGGCTGGATTAACATTAACGTTATCTTATTTGCCTTAAAATTGGGAAGATTTGACCCAGTTGAGACTTTTAAAGGTAAAGGTGCTGTTTTAATTTTAGGCGCAATGTAATATTTCTTCCATGATTCCTTCAAGTGTTCAGTAGATTGCAAGCTAACTGCCCTTACGTGATGTGATAATATTGGGCTTCAGATGTCTTAGAACACTGCCAGAAGACAGATTTCACTGCATGCTGGAGACTGTTCTGGCCTAAGTAGAAAGGAGAGTGCCAAACAAATGAATTTGTATTCACTTAGTGTATAAAAATACTATCTTAAAATATTATGACCAAAAATATTCAGTCCTGAATAAAAGAAACTCACAATTTTGTTTTTAGTAGAATGGCTTTTTTCAAAGTTTCTGACAGACCTTTCATTCATTTACTAATTTTCATACTGTTTTTGTCTAGCATGTACTGAAAAAGCTTCTGGCTATCACAGAACTGCTTCAACAAAAACAAAACCAGTATACAAAAACTAATGACATCAGGTAGCAGCCTTCGTCGAAGTGTTCTGCATGGATTCAGCGTGCTCGATATGGTAATTCACATCAGTATGACTCCTTTGCTCTTGCCAAAAAATAGCACACCTTTCCACATTCCAGTGATGTGTGAGCTATGCAAACAAAACCCTGATTCTGCTGGTGAATAACTGTGCCAGCAGCTTTGTAAGCTATCTGTGCAGGATATTTGCACTTTTTCCACATATGGAATCAATATTTACCAACCTCTGAGCCTTGGTGTACAGATCACCTTTCATATAACAAAATGCTATGACTGTATCTTGAACTTTGAGAATATATTTTCAGTACATCCAATTGCCAAAGTTTTGCTGTCTCTTGGAAAAAGAACTATGAAATCAACTGACAAGAAAAAGCATTCTCTGTTGACAGTTGAGTATAACTGGATTACAGACTGTTCCTTACCTTCTTCCTGATTAGGAGTATGACCATTTGACTGTTCAATGACTTATTTGTATTTACAGTTTCCAGAGTTTGCCATTATAATAGTAACAATCTTTGCTGTATACTTTTTTAAATACTGTGCTATTTCTCTTGCTGGAACTGTTGAAAGTATATAGGATGGATCCATTGCCTCATCAGCTTTATTTTTTAAACATACCACTTATTTTGTTCGAATTGTCAGACTATTTAGATTTCATAATGCTTTTGTTAAATGTTTACAACAGTAAATTTGAATTCAATAAATATTATTGGTCATTGTGCTGATGGATGCATGTTACCCATACAACCATTTTAAAGATTACCAATTTCTTCTGTTAAAACCTAGAATGCTTTTTGTTGAAAGCATTCATTCCAAGCTGATTATGCAAACAACTTCATCAGCCACTTAACAGTTATCCACCTTTGAACTTCTGACTACTTGTTGTATCTGCTGGATATTTAGTTTGACTGTATAGTTCTATTTGCTTCTGTATGTGTATTTTTGTGAAGTATTCACAAGGGTTAAGTTAAAATAAAACCAAGGGATATCTTAAATAATTGATTATTTCTGTCTAAATACAGGTAAGCACTTAATTTATTTTCTTCCTCCTTTAGGGACAGTTCAAATTAGTACCAGAGCAAGGCCCAAGGAGGAGATGAAACTTCAGATCACGTTTTTTGCTAATGGTCTCTTTTGAAGGATTCTTTTAATTCACTCGTTATTAATTTAAGGAATAATTCCTTCACTCCTATAATTGTGCAGGGGTAAGAAGGCATACAAAAGTATGTAGCAGCATATCAAAGTGGGCAAGATAGGAACCAAGGGAGATATAAGGTAAAACATTAAAATATAGGAGAAAACAAATGGAGGGTTTAGAAGATTTCTGCACAGTACAATTTTAAGCTGTTACTTTTGTGGAGGCAGCTAGCCCTGATATAGCTGCAGCCACAGTTGAACAGTGATAAAAGTTGGGCATCACTGCCCTCAAGATAAAACAAATTTTTCCACTATTTTGATATCAACTCAGTTCCATTTTTCTTTTTCCATCCCTCCTGCTTTTTAGCTTAATCTCCCCACTTAATCTCCTTCCTTGGTGTTAAAGGACAGACTGGAAGGGGTATGGATTACTGACACCTCCAAAAATGTCTCAACAATATGCAAAATGTCCAAAACCTACTACTGCTAGGCAGTTTGGTTCTCCCACTAATCATACCTTTGGCCATAATAACCTGTCATTCCTCAATCTGAAATGTTTCTTCCCTTTTTAAAAATCCTGCTTTTTTAAATATTTTAATGACATGTTTGCCTTTTAAGTTAGAATAGGAAACTTGTCATTTACCTTTGTAGGCCTTGCAGTAACTAGCTGGTCAAGGATGAAATAGAACCTCTAAAACTGCGGCTGGGTAGGAAATTTTGAGATAAACGTGGACCTTTGCTCTGATGCCAAAGTTTAGTGACCTAAAAGAGAAACAAGGTAAACTGAACAGCTTGCAATTCTGTCTCAAGCCTAGGAGCACTGATACTTAACCTGGACTGTCAATTTAGGCTTTTTCCACTCCACTTCTGTAAAAACACACTTCATAAATTTTATTCCTCTCATTCTACAATGAAGAAGACACTAAAAATTAAAAAAACTCATTCCTAAAATGTAATTATTACAGAGTAAAATACACGAAAAGTAAATACTGCCATCAAATACTAAGAATTAAAATGGCACCTACATTTCTATGGGAAGCCCAGCCAGGGATGCATTGACAGTGAGGAGAGGTTATGTATCCATAATACTTAGAAACCTGAGAAACTCAGCTGCCCTGAATCTTTCAACCTAGTTTTCTAAAAAAAAATTCTGACATCCATAACTTGGTTCCAACTTAGAAATTGAATAAGATTACAGTTAAATAAACAAATGCTATGATAGCCAGTATTTACTGAATACTTAGTATATAGAGGCATTATTCTAATTAATCCTGTGAGAAGGCATTATTTTCCCCTTGGGAAATGGGCACAGTCTCAATATAGAGGTAGCCATGATTCATACCTAAGTAATTTGGTGCCAGTCTTTGCTTTTTATATCAATTCCTTTCAATCTGAGTAATTCCTAGAAACACAATTTATATAGATTCACTTAGACTAATAGACTCGAACATACAATTTGCTACTACCCACCTTACCTTTTAGCAATTTGAGGTTTTATCTAGACAACTTTTTATCTAGACAACTACTAAAGACTATTTGATTCTTTTTCAAAAAACCTATTTGGAAATGTTTTCAGTTAACAAAATGAGGAAAACAAATATTCGTTACCCTGGGTGACTAGCTTTCAGAACCCTGTAACAGATGAAGTACATCTTGCAGTTCAGTAGTAACATGAATAACAGATATATCAGGATGGCATTTGAGAAACCACTTATAAAGGTTTCTAGAGTGCAAAAAGCATTCGTTAGCATGTTTAAAGCCGACTGCTAAGTTCTGTTGTGGTACCTTTTTTCAAAAGGGATGTTTGCTTATTGCATTTTGTTTAAAACAATATAGGCAAATAAATTAGAAAGACTAATTTGATATTAGTCATGGTGGGTCAAGATTATCCAAACCAGGTGATATTTTGGTTCCTTTGAAGATGTTTTATTTCACATAAATCTACCCTGAAAGGAAAAACAAATAAATAGAAAAGTTTACTGGATTTTGATGCTTTCGAATTATTTCATTTGTAAATAAATTGAAATGCCGAACATGCTTCATCCTTCTGTTGATTTGTTATTAGGGTTGACAAATCAATTTCAAAGGTTAGAATCTACCAGGTCATCATCAGTCCATTCTTCCTAAGAAAGAAAGTAAAGGTAGTAAGGGTAACATTATAGTGAAGCATAACTACTATGATTTACAGCCTTGCCTCCCTCTAGAAAAATGTTTTTACCAAGATCACAGACGGTAAATAAACTAGGAGAATTTCTAGTAGTTTAATCTTATAGTAATATAACATGGTCTCACCAGACTACTCCAGTGACAGGAATAAAGGTACGGTTATGACCTTCCGCCTCTGATTATTCATTTATATCTGACTTGCCAGGTATAATTTTAAAAAAGTAGGTGGGGTTGAAGAATCCATGAAGAGTAAAAAATATAGCAAAAATTTAGCATGTATATCCCTGCTGCTTTCCATGGCCATAGGAAGATTATTCAAGGAACTATTTTACTGTTTCAGAACAGACTAAGAAGTCAGAAGTGAGAAAAATCTCTAATAATGGACAAATTACATAAAGAAGGATGCAAAACAACATAAGTGAAGACTTTCAAAACCTACACCTCTAAATATAATTCTTGCACTCTGGAACAAAAAACTCTTAACAGTGTGGTCACACAAGAATGTACAATAACTTAAAATTTACTTTTGGAGAACATACCTCATCATGTTTGGATTTCTTTGAGACATAATCATCATCTTCATAGCCTTTCCTCTTCTTCCTGTAATTAGGCAACAATCAATAAACAGTTTAATAACTGACAACTATAAAATAAACTAGCAAGGCTATATGAAATATTATATATCTACTAAATAACCAAGCCTAGAT